TTTGTGTTAGTGGTCGATCGATCTAGGTTCTTAGGCCGTACGACTTTGTGCTTAGCCTTAGAGATGTGTCCTAGAGCCGTAGAGTTTAGTGTCTAAGGTTTTCTTCATGTTTAGTGCTGAGTGTTCTCTAATGGATATCTAATAAGGTGAAGCTCCTATTATGTGATTCTATGTTTTTGTATTCGGCTTTTGTTTGCTTTCCTTTATGCATATGCATGTATGTTTCTCGATTGTGTAGTATTTTATTTGTTCTATGTGCTAGGTTGTTATGTGATCTATCTAGGTGCATATTAGGATCTATGTGTTCTATGTGTGATATATTTTGTCTATGTTAACGTTTGTTTGTGGATGCAATGAGAGACAAAAGACGATGATAAAATCCATTGGTGCAAGGTAAATCTATATCTAGAAAATACGTATTTTGGGATTTGGTTAAATAACGGTCAAAATAGGTGAAGTATGTTAGGAATCTTGGCAGTTCGAGGCCTAACCCGACAAGTCCCTCGGTAAATAAATTAGTTGGCCCACTCTGTAGCCCGGCCCACAGGATCGACCCATCCCGTTTATTCTCGACCCATTTACCCTGAACCCAATTAGATAGAAGGATGAGGCGGTTTAGAGTGAGTAGTTTCTGTGAGAGTGATTTTCATCCGAATCAAGAGAAAAACCGTTCCAATAATCAAAATCCGAGTTGGAGAAAAAAAGGGTGAGACCGAGAGAGAGGGGAGGGGGTCAAGAGAGTCGTCCGGTGAGTGAGTTCGAGTGGTTTTCCGGTGAGAGTAGATCCCTATCCGATAGCCGATTCTGGGTGGGCGTCGAGGCTTGGAGTGAAGAGCAGACCTCTGACCTTGATGCGCAGTTACCTCAGGCCATCTTCACACCATGGGTCTGAGCCGAAAACCGCCATCCCTTTCGCCGGTGAAAGTTTGAAGAAGATCGTTGATGAATGAGAGAAGGTTGGAGGAGAATCAGTCGTCGTCGGTCAATGTTCGCCACTGTTCGCTGATGTCGATCAGAGACGCAATCGGAGCTACTGGCTATGAGTCTCTGCCAACCGAAGACTGTCACGCATAGTCGCCAACCGCCAAACCTGCTCGCTGTTTCTACCAGAGGACCCCGGAGGAAGTTGATCGAAGTGTCCACAATTCTCGCGGCTTGAATTCTAGAATGACAAGCAGGGAAGTGTTTTGATTTCTTTCCCAATTTGATTTCATTAATTCAAGTCTGATTGTTTTGTAATTGATTTCTAATTTACATAATGACATTTTGCCTAATAATTTTGTGTTTGAATTAGTTTTGTTTCAGTATTATAGTATTGATTTGAGTTTATTTGATTTAATTGTTTCCGCTGTTAATTGAATCGTATTTTGTATATGAGATTTTATTCGACAAATCCAAAAATATCTTAAGAATAAATTCACATCACAAATATTATCTTATTATTATTATTATTATTATTATTATGTGGGAACCCACAACCGCTACTCGAAAGTGTTCTCTGGGGTTTCTCCGGTTGAACCTATTACCCTGCAAACTAAGCTCGATAAGACAAGTCACACTAGGCGAACCATGTGTGGTAGGTGGACCTGGAGGCGTCGGAATTTGAACTTATTATCTTTCTTTTCTTTTCTTTTTTCATGACGTGGGAACCCGCAGCCGCTACCCGAAAGTTTTCACTGGATAAACCCCCGGGTGTGTTTACTTGTGAGGTTTTGGTTTTGGCTTTTTATTTTGAATAGTAAAATTTTGAATTGAAATAGTTGTTTGATGTGATATAAATATGTGTTGATGTGATGTTTTGAATGTAAAATTAGATTTTAATGTAATAAATAAAAAAGAATTGAGTGTTTGATTTGATGTTTTTGAAAGAAAAAAAAAGTTGGGCAAATATCAAAAGTAGTTAAAAAAAAAAAAAAAAAAAAAAAAAAAAAAAAAAAAAAGAGAGAGAGAGAGAAATGAGTAATTATTTGTAAAAAATGATATATAGTAAAAATAGAGTGTGTGTATTGTATATATTTAATGGGGCTGAATGTAAAGAGTAGTTTACTCCAATTACCCTTTCAATTAAACTAATTGCATTTTAATAAATTTCTTTATATATACATATGCTTTTATTTTCAAACACTTCAATTGGATTTTCTTTTCGTTTATTACAATTATCATGTGTGAGATTGGCTATAAATTTTCTTGAATAGGCCGAAAAAGAAATCTTGTCGATCACATTTCAATAGCCCAATGCAACTTAAAATGTCGCAATAATATTTCATGATAACAATAATATTTGGTAAAAATGGTTCCATAAGAAATGATCTAACGGTGTAGGTGGACTCGTTAAATAGCGATTGCAAGTTCCTACATTATCAAAACGAAATCGATAAAAGTGAATTTTTATGTTTCTTATACAAATTCATGATAACCTTTTTACTTGAAATTTAGTTTGATATATATATATATATATATTTTAACTTGAAAATTTATATTTATACCCCCAATAATTTTTTATTTTTTGTTGACGTAATTTTTAATAAATATTAATAAAAAAAATATAATATATAGTCTATATAAACATCCGCATAATATAATTAATATACATTTTATGAGAAAATTGCAAAAAATATTCTACATGCATACTTTATTATTACTTTTGTTATGTATTTATTTCGCTCGCAAAATATATTTTAAATGTTTGCAAAAGTCGCTATTTCTATTGTTTGGTCGCGCATGATCGCGCGTGGTGTGAACTTCATGCGCAGTCAAATGACATAAATAACAAATTTTGTAAGCATGTAAGATATATTTTGCGAGCGAGATAAATACATGATAAAAGAGGTATACGTCTTCATAAAAAACTTAACAATTCAATACAATATTATTTTTCTAGATATTATTTTATATGAGGTATAAAAAATTGTGTAAGTAATATAAACTTAAACGAATATGTATAATATATTAATATTATGAAAAATACATATTTTCCCCAAAAAGAACTAAAAAAATTGTCCATAACTCTCATCTGGTTTAAAACTCTAAATGCATAGCACTCTTTTATATTTTTAAAAATTTTCCATAAAACCCCTCAATGCAAAAAAAATATAGATATAAAATACCATCTCATCACACCAGAAAGGAATTTCATGTAATTTTTAAAGTATGAGATAATTTACACTTAAATTTCGAAATCGCGTTAAAATTGTGAACAAGTTTGTCCAAAAAAGAACACACAACTTTTGCAATGTGTTATTACTGTTAATTTAAAAACCAATCAATACGTGTGTTTACTTGTGAGGTTTTAGTTTTGGGTTTTTAATAATAAAATTTTGAATTGAAATAGTTGTTTGATACAATATAAATATGTGTTGATGTGATGTTTTGAATCTAAAATTAGATTTTAGTATAATAAAATAAATAAAAATTTGGTATTTGATTTGATATTTTTTTTTAGAAAAAAAAAAATTTGAATTGTAAAATTAGATGTAAAACCTGACAAGTAAACACAAATATATATATGACTATATTTTAGTAAAATACTCATTAATTTTACCTTAATAAATAATAATAATAATTTTTTTTATTGGATAATAATAATTGTTTTACTGGATAGTTGTCTTTCTTCCACTTTGTCTTTGCTTGGGTTTAAATTTTGGGTTACGATTTCTATAATAAAAAATTTGAATTAAAATAGTTCTATGACGTGATATAAATAAATAGTGATGTAATATTTTAAATATAAATTTGATTGTTAATGTAATAGTATCTTAAATGAAAAATAAGTGTTTAATTTTATATTTTAGGATTTTTTTTAATAAATAGTAAAAATCCTAACAAATCCACCAAACAAACACAACTTTAAACTCCAACTCAGCAAAAAGTAAAAGAAAAATAAAAAATATCTAACAAATATTGAAGAGATGCAATACTTTTTGTTTTGCTTTATTTTATTTTATTTTAAGGTAGATTGTTGTTTTAGTCCCGACCCCTTATCATTTTAGTCTTATAAGTGGAGTCTGTCGCAAACTAATTCCTTAAGTGAAAAATTTTCGTTGTTTTAATCCTCCGGTGCCGGAGACACCTGTGTGGCTCGCTGAAGCGACGTGTTCCGCCAGGTCAGCGACACCTGGCGGACACGTGGATTTTATCTTTTTTTTTTTTCTTTTTTTCGTAATTTTTTAATTTTTTTATAATTGGACCAAAATAAAAAAAATTAAAAAAAAGTAAATAAAATTAAAAAAAAAATTCACGTGTCCGCCAAGTGTGTCCGTGGCCTTTGGCAAGCCACGCGGGCGTCTCCGGCGCCAAAGGACTAAAACAACGAAAAATTTTCACTTAGAGCATTCGATACAAATATTACCTCTACTTCGTTATCTCTTTTATCTCTCTCATCCATATCATATCCAACTCAACATTTAAATTACTTTCTTTATCACTTGTTATAGTAATCACCTTCGAGACATTACCTTTACTATTTTATAGGATTCACACTAATTTATTTATTTCAATATATTTGTATTGCATAATATATATTATTTATTTATTTATATATATATTTTATTATCTAATAATATTTTTATATAATTTTATATTAAATTTTTAAATTTTAATATATTGAAACATATAATTTACTATTTTTAAAATTGGAATTATTTGAATAAATTGATATATAGATAATTTCTGGTAATTTTAAAATTTTAAAATTTTATAAATAATATTTAATTATTTTTTTAAATTTTTGTTGAAGGTAATCGATTTTTGAGAAAATTAATAAATTGTAAATAACTGTATCTCTTTTTAAAAGTAACGAAAAAGATAACTAGTTATTATAGTAAAAAGTGAAAATATAATGAGAAAGGTAATAGGAGAGGTGACTCTTGATGCTCTTATAACTAAAAAAATTAGTTCATCCTTTATTTTATTTTATTTTTTATGCTTATATTTTTATTATATAATTTTGTATTATATAAAATTTTGTTCATGTGATGTAAAAGTAAAGAAAATAAGACGTGTAGATGGAGAGATACCTTTTATTGCAGATGGTCTAAAATTGAGCCTATATCAAACACTATCAAATTTGTTTTACACTAGACGCACATCACAAATAAAAATAAAATAAAAACACATATCCTCTTCCTACATAAATGAGACAAAGATGATTAAGCAATTACACCAAATCACAGATCTGAATAAACAATGTTCCTCCCTCAATCTATAATTATTATACATTCTAATATAAAACAAACAATCTAAAGGCCAAGATAAAGAACACTGAATGCACAGTCGCCATAGATGAAACAGGTTAGAAGAATCGAAACACAGTGGTAAAAAAAAGAAAAAAGAAAAAAGAAAAAAGATCGAAGAATCATCATACCGAGTTCTACTGATTCTGGTTCTGATTCTGATTATGATTCTGATTCGCGTCCCTCCAAACAGTTAGTTCCAAAACGAGGTCGCCGGCGCCATTTAGAAATTCCTTTGGGATGACGGCATATCTTTTCGGACGCTGACCAGGAGCCCAGCACGGGGTGGTTTCCGCTGCCGTTTTCAGCTGGATAGACCCCACCCCGTCTCTAGCCGTAAGGCTGTAGGTAAACTGCGGGCTCGATGAAACCGGGGCAATGCACACAACAGTGACGGAACTTCCAAAATGCTCGATGGAGCGCCTGAGGACAAACAATGTCTGCTCGTGCTTTTCTTGGAGGAAGACCTGTTTCTGATTGCTGGTTAATATAACATGGATGGAAGAGTTGAACCTGAAGGGCTTGGAGGATCTCGGGTGGTCTGTTGTGAAGTGCGAGTAGAGGCATTTGGAAGAACCGAAATAGGCGCAGCCGAGGTACGGGCATGAGCACGGGGTGTATGTGCATGTCTTCTCGTGATCGAGTTTCTTGCTGTAGTTTAATGAGGCTGCGCATCCGTGGCCCGCGTACCGGCATGAGACTCGCACCGTTTCGAGAACCTTCTCCATGGCCCTGCATCTGTTGTACCCGATTGGCCAGCAGCAACTCGCGCATTTGTTCCTCATCTTGATGCAGCATGATGCGCATGCTATGTGCCCGTTCTCACACTGCATCAAAACCGAGAGAAGTATACCAAATGAACTCTTTCACAAGATTGCCAAACAAGAATATAATCCGATAATTAGGAAATGCTTTATGTATAAAAGTGAAGCAATTGATGCAGAGTAACACTACTTTGATTCCAGACAAACTCATGAAGGTTGGGTTCTTTCGTGGGTTTTGCCACAGAATTTTATTATTCAGATTTTGATTTTTCTCAAAAAAAAATATCAAATCAAACAATTATTTTTCTTTTTTATATTATCCTGTAAATTTATTTACATTCAAAACATCACATCGACATCTATTTATATTACATCAAACGACTATTCAAATTCAATTTTTTACTATTCAAAAATCCAAACTTAAAAATCCAAATCCACAAAAAACCCGAAGAGTTTCCTCTAGGTGGCAAACTATAACAGCTTATATACCTAAATCAGAGTTATCATCGAACCTAATAGTAGCCTCCATAAATAACCAAGTTGCATAAACACCTCCAACAAAGCCTGATATTCAACATGTATCTCAATAATGTAAATCAACAGACAATGGCACCGGTTCCAAAGGGAGAAATCGAAAGGTACAACTTTTTATTATTTATTTATTTATTTTTAAATGAAGAGTGGTGATTATATTTCAAAACATATACTTTCAACCTATTAAATAACATGCTGTTATAATGCCAAAAAATTCACATTTATTTGCAAACATATTCCTTATTAGTTCATGGGCAAAGCCATAGATAGCATCAGCTAATTGAAGAGCTTTTATTTCAGTTCTTGAATAGATGACACAAAATGGAAATACCTGTGTCTTTCTCAGTTAGTTGCAAAAGGGGCACAATGGAGGAGGGACCATTGCACCATTATAACGGCAAGGTGCGCCTTTTCAATGGCACAACAGCTTGCACCATGAGCTTTTAGTTGTTTTTTTGTTTCAATTCTTGTTACTGTTATTTTTAAATTTCCAAACAACTTGACATTTTTAGCCTTAAAGTCATCTTCCTGCTTACTTTCCTATGTTTTCTTCTTCTCCTGTTTCTTTCACCATTCCTCTATTCCTCTAGTCCTCCACTCTTCCCCCATGTTTAGTTTGATTCATCTTGTATTGTAATATTTGTTTCAATATATATATATATATATATATATGTTTTAAAATTTTTATTAGCATTCAACTAAGTGTGTTCTTTTGTGTTTTGGGCTTTCGGTTTTGCTATTTTTTTAGGTTAAAATAGTAGTATCATGTATGTGATGCTTTTTAAGAAAAATAAAAGATTGAATATGCAAACTCAGAAGGACAAACCCTCATGTCCTCAATTTAAAAGATTCTTCCAGGAATTATTGCATACTTCTGAAATCTAATACTAAAACAGCATAAACTGGAGTGATACCTAAAAAAGATTCAAATATCTTGTAAGAGGATACTGCAATGCAAATATCCATATATATACATACATATATATATGACATTAACCCATTTTCTGGGAAAATTGCAAGTTACTATTAAACAACCTTGAAACTGCTTATCAGTCTTGATGATACAAGAAATATCATCTCATTAATTATCAGCTAAACTTTTAAGTGAATGGTGATAAGATCCAATTTTCTGGGGCCATTATTGAAAAAGTATATATACTATAACTGAGATCACCACAGGAAGAGGAAGGACTACACTATCAATTCCCAAATCCATGGTGGAAAATTACCATGTCCCAATCATTCCAAAAGTAGGAGCCATAAGAACACACTCATTGCTGAAGCGAAAGCATCCAAAATATCTTCTAATAATAAATGCAAATGCGTGAAAAAATCTCCGTTGAATTAATTGTAAAGAATCTTTCAAGAATTGAAGAAAAAGTGATGAAGGAAGAAAACACAAGGACCTGATAAATGGGTGAGCTGAGAGGTTCTAGACAAATAGGGCAATCCAGCACATCCGGATCCGTCAGGGTCACCAACACCCCCACGCCCACGCCCGCCGCCTGCGCATTTGCACCACGCGCCGCCTCCTCACGAGCCGGACCATTTGCATCAGGCGGAGCTGAACTCAATATCGCCTCCGGGGACGGCGACACCTCATCTCCGCTCCTCGGACTCGCCTGATCCGCTTCTTCCTCTTCTTCCTCGTATTCTTCCTCCGATTCTTCCTCCGACGAATCGGCCAGCGAAGACTCCGATTCCTCTTCGCTTTCGTCTTCCGACAGTTCCTCTACCGGAGCCTGTTCCTCCGGTCTCGGTTCCTCTGCCGCAGCAACCGTGCAGGGCGGCGCTGGATTGACCAAGTTGGAGGCCGCAACGAGGCCGGCAGGGTTCGATGAGGAAGCGTTGGACCTTTTCGCAGTGTAAACGATGGGAGCACCGGCGGCGCCGGTCCGGAGTCGTTTAGGCAACCGTCTATCGTTGTTGGAACTATCCTCATTTCCATCTTCTTCGTCCCCACCAACAGAAAACCTCGCCATTGATTTTCTTGCCGACTGTTATCTGCGTTAATTTATAGGGTTCTCCTTCCTCAATTTGGGATTGGGGATGAATTCAGATTTTCAAATCGATCCTTTGTTTTCTAATGATATTTATCACAAGGGCATGCAGTTTTGAGAATATCACGAGGGCCCACCCGTTATCGAACAATAAATTTTAAAACCCCCAAATTCATTTGCCCCCAAATTGGGTTTCTACAGACCACCCTAATGGCAGCGCAGGCATTACTCAGAAATTCATCCATTTCAGTCTTCGATTCTTCATGGATATGTCGGGATTATGGAGCCATTCTTCAAAATCATTGTCTATGTCGACCGAATTCTGTGGGAAATCGCGGCGGAGTGAAGATATCAGTCCGGTGTTCGGGAAACGGGCCTCAGACATTGAGGACTTGCAGGAACTGCAAAGCTCAGTTCGATCCTTTGCTCAATCATCCCCGCGCTTGCCGTTACCACACCGCTCATTTCGGCGGTAAGTTCATCCCGTCTGTCTCTCGGACGTTGATGTTTTGTGTGTTTTATGCATCTTTTGTGCTGAGTTTGTCCACCGAAAAGTGCTCTTCTAGAACTCTGCCGGTGAGATGATTAGAATTCTAATTGAATGATCTCTTAGCTTTGCTTCTCAAGTACATTGATGTGCTGTTGTTTACAAACGCGAATAAACTTAAATTTAGCATAGATGCACAGAAGAGGTTCATTTCTCTTTAATGGTAAATATCTCTACCGCTTTAGGCAGGATGGTTTGTTTGTAATATTTTCTTTTCGGAGGCATTGATGACTGATGTGTGTTCCATTTTTCATCTCGCTCAGGAGAAACTAAGAGGAAGTTTGAGAGTGTATATACAGGTGGAACAATGGACACCCCTAACTCTGGAAAGATTTTGCAGTACTGGCATTGTTGTGGGTCAGAAGATCCCTTTGATCCTGGATGTACCTCGTCTCCTCATGCTTCATATGATGACTGATAATTGACTGTATGAACATGCTTCAATGTACAAATTGAAAAATTTTTTCCCTCTCCTGTTTCGATCTCTTTATGACTCATAAATTTCCTGTCATATGTCTCTACATCGTTTATGTAAACAATGCTGCAAGAATTTTGCACTTTCCACTCTGGTTTCAGTTGGGCCTTCATGTTGATATAAGCTTAATAAGAAACTTGTGTTGGAGATGCTTGTAATGTTGTCGATTCATTTTAGAAGAAGAATAGTTGGCTATATGTGTTATTATAAAAAACAGTATCTATTATATTTGACAAAGAATCTTTTCTTTAGTTGTATAGGTCTAGTTGGCTGAACTATAGAGCCAGATCTACCTAAATTTCGTAGCATATTTTGTATTGCCAATTTCTTTTACCTTTTCCTTATAATTTAAAGATAGTTGCGGGCAAAAATATCAAGCTCCAAGTCACGCAGTTGCTGTATGAGAGAAATTGCTCTTCCCGCACCAGTTTTGCTTGTAAGTGTTAGGGTTTTCCTCTTTATTGCAGATACTCTTAGTGTTGGTGATTGTTTTTAATTGGTTGGATTGTGGTTGATTCCGTTTGGGATGTTGATGTGGACATCCAAGCTCAAAGAATTGAAATGCCCGTGGGACCTATTACTTGCAGCCGAGCTTGTTAGTTTCAAATATTCGTCACTGTATTGACCTGAAACGTATACATGAAGAATTAATTTAAGAAAGATGTTTGGAGCCACTTAGCCCTTACTTGATATTACTTCTAACATTATTATATATTTCTTTTTATTATAAGTTTATTTTTAGCAAATTTCCAAATTTAGATATATCCTTTTATTAGTTATTTTCTTATATTTTTTATATTAAGGACTTCTATAAAAGGTTCTTGTTTATAATTGTAATGAGAAAATTTAATTTTTAATCAAATTTCACTTTTATATTTTTCTAGAGTTAGAGAGTTTTAGACTTAGATTTTAAATTCCGATCTTTAGAGTGATTCTATTGGTTCATGGCTTCCAATTGTTTGCGGAGGAATATAGCCTATTGTTTGTGATTTAACCTTTTGTTAGGATTTCATGTTCGAAACTTGTTCTTGACTTCTTGTTATCTTTTCATTTATATCCTATATTTATTCATCTCTACTTCAAATTTATTGGTTCTACTTTAAATTTATTGGTTCTATTGAACTTTGTAGCTAAGGAATTTATTATGAGAATTTTATACAGTCTGGCAATACAGTGACGAATATTTGGATTGCCAATTCTGGAAATCGAGTTATTGCTTATTGTTGATGGAATCATAATTGCGTAAATGTCAGATGTATTTTTTATGATCAATGCTGGTATCTTGAAATTGGAAATCTTACTGCCAATATTTATGGTGGAATCCTGTATATGCAATATCATAGCTGTTTTCACAACATGAAATTTGTGGTTTGGCAATGGAATGATTTAGAATTTATGATCGAAATTTGCCCTGTGGCTGATTAAACTACCTTGTTCAGTATTTACAATGCAATACCTAATTTGATTTAGAAATTCCTGTCTTTTTTCATCAGCCAAATCTTCTTACAGTCAGAGTTTTTGCACATCACAGGTTTTATTCCTCAGATGGCATGTTGTTCAATTGCCGGATTGGAATCAAAGAAGCACGCTGTGCATCCATCATGGAACATGTAAGAGAGCTGATTCATGTTGCCATAGTTCACGCTCTTCATCCAAAGTATGCGAAGGTGACGACCCCTGCAGACACACATAGAGAAGAGACTCCATAAATCACAGTTCTTTCACATTCTTTATAACCGTGCTTTTACTTTGAACTCACTCACACGTTGGTTTTGCCTGTGTTGTAGAATAGCGTAGGCTTTTGCCATAATGTAGATTGGCGCAAGGATTGCAACTGTTTGCAGCATCACCAACTGCAGCACAAAATACAGTTTCTTTAATCAGGTAAACGCTAAACACACATGGACATAAGAGAATGGATAACCTCACCATCAACCAAGAAACTGAGTATTCACCGGGACTGTACATAACAAAGGGAAGTGTGTGCCGCAAAACCAGAAGAACTACAAACTGAGTTGGATAAAGTAACCGATCAGCTTCATCTTTTAAAGTGAAGATAACAGTCAGAGAGACGTAGAGCTCATACAATAATAGTAACAGCCCTGCAGCAGACGAGGCTTCCAGAAGTGAGCATTGGATACTCCTCAAAGTTGGGTTCCATGAAGTTCTCATCCGAAGCAATAGTTGGTATCAGGTGATTGTTATTCAGCTCAACTCTCGAAAACTCCCAATCACCCCTGTGTAGATTTATACAGTAAGAGTTAACAATAGTAAGCACTTGACAAGAAAAAAGGGTACGAATAAATGGCACGGTGAGTCTATGAACCTACGATCTTTTTTTCTACCATACTCATTAGAGATCAATTTTTTTTTTAAAATTTCCATTATAATGTTGTGATCAGGAAACGAGGTCTATGCGAGCACCTGGCGATGTGGCCGTAGTTGATCAAAGGAGGCGGTGCTGTATAGCCGGGCTTGAATTGCTGCAGCCTCGGATCAATGTGACGGTGCAAAAATCGTTCTCAGCATTGCTATTGTAAGCTCTAAATGCATTTATATGAGGAATGTCTAGCATTGTACCTGACGGCATATTTCGCAAATAGTGTCGCCTTTCTCGTTGCACCACCTTTGCAGGCAAGTTCGGTGAGAGTACTAACCAACAAGAGAAGACACATTTTTGTCATAGCCATGGCTAAGTATCTCATCTTCTAAATGTCTATTTTTATGTGTTTGGTTTCGACATTTTGTTATTTAGTTGAATGATTGTTTACACAGACTAAATAGTGTTGAAATGCTAAGCTTAATGGGATGAATGTTTGCGAACCTTCAAACTCCCCCGACAAGAACAAGGCGTCTCCATATTCGAGTCTTTGTCTTCCTCGTGGCAAATTCGACATTCGGCTGATGATGCTTCATTTCTATCCATACTATTTAGGTAATCACTAGGCATTGCGCAAATTTGAAATGATCGATACACGTGAGAAAATCAAATCGATCCTTTTCACTTGGGATTGTTTTTAGGCAAGGATGGATTTGCCAATCTACATGACAACAATCACAAATTTAAAAAAAAATAAAAAATGATCATACTAGCCCCCAAAATAAAATGAAATTAAATATATTCTAAAGAACCCATCTCTTGATTTTGATGAAATGCAGAAATAATGAGAACAGGAAAACACACGTACCAACACTGAATCTTATCAAGAAATTTCACTTGTTTGTTTGAAGGATTTTGAAGGATTTTTACTATTCATCCAATTTTTTTCCCTCAAAAATATCACATCAAACACCTATTTTTTATTTTTTATATTATACTAAAAATCAATTTTACATTCAAAACATCACATCAAACCCTATTTATATCACATCATACAACTATTCAAATTCAAAATTTTTACTATTCAAATCCCAATCCAAAATCCAAACCCCCAAACAAACACACCTATTGAAAACTTTCTTGACAAATATGGAAGAGATCAAGAAAACTGCCAATGTCCAAAATACATCCAACTTAAAACATAGAGAGATCGACTCTTGGATGTTTTAACAATCAAGATTTGGAAAATTAGTTTTCATCCTAAAGAAAGATTAAAGATGAAGGAAACAAGAAATCTGATGCTTAGAGACATATTTATATACAAGAACAAAGAGGGTTTAAATAAAACATATATTTTTTTTTTTCATGTAAATCCATAGGGAAAAAGCTACTTGTTTTTCAAGGCATTGCAATTAGAAAACAATTTTAGATTGAAGAAATGAAGAATAAAATAGAGAGGAATGAATATTGGGGAAAGAAAGTTTACAAGAATCAATGTGGTGGGAATTTCTGCAGCACAAGAAACCAAACCCCTCAGCATCAATCTTGTTTTCTGCAAACATCCCTTTTCTTCATTCTTTTCTTCAACTTTTCGATCATCTATTCAACTCCCAATTTAATTTTCAATTTTATGGGAGTTTGCTTTCAAGATGTAAACCCAAAACCCAAGCTCATACCATATATACATATACATTATATATAAATAGAAAATTCAATAGCAGCTTTTAATGATGCAAGTAAACCTTTACTTTTGTTTCATTAAAAAAAACAACTTTTGACTAAAAACACAAAAAAGTTAAAGAACAAAGTGAAAATATACTCCATAGAGATAAAAATTCTTGGTAAATATTTTTCGTAAAATGTATATGAAATGATTATGATGGTATAATGTGTATGAAATGATTATGATAGAATTTCTCGTTCATATATATATACTCTATTTCTAACGTAAAAACTCGTGTAAATATATACATTGTGAAGTGATTTTTATTTATTTATCTATTTTATACGGTCATTTCCACTTCAATGAGGGACAGTGGGACATCATAACGTCAAAACCACGAAACGATGTGTAAGTGTTGAAAATAGCTCCCATTAAGACTTTTGGCTATTTGATGGTTTAAAGCAACACACAACAAGGTCAATATTACAAAAAGTTATATTAAATGTGAAAATTTGCAAACAACCTAATGATGAGAATTATATTATATTATGAAAAGAAAAGAAAATTGTGAAGTATCAAAAAACTGAGATGACAAAATAAATAAATCTAATGGTCATTGAAATCTATAATAAATATATCGAATGCCAAGCAATTTATAAACATACAAAAAACCTAAAGATGCTTGTTTGGCTGCTACGACAAAAACATCTTCTTGATCTTCTCTTGTTTTTTAATACCAGGAGACTATTACTTGTGAGATATGCCATCGTGTACAAACTTGAGTTTTCTCATGTTTAAATAGTAGAGAATGATTTTGCATATAAATGTAACCAAACACATCATAAAAATGGAATCGAGTTTTTGACATCTAATGAGATAATATACTTTAGTTTTTTGTATTAATTTCATAAAATTTGTGCTTACTATTAGAGGAAGGGATTCTTCCGAATGAGAGAACCAAGGTAAGGATTTGAGAATGAATTGAAATTATATACTGTGTAAAATATAATTTTGTTGTTAGGGTTCTTGGATTCCACTGGAGGAGAAAACCGATGTGAAGTTTTGTTTAGAACATAGGAGATTTGAACGTTTTTGTCTCCCGTGTTCAACCAATTTGCATTTTAAAAAGAACATAACCTATGAAAAAACTGTGTAATATTAATACCGCCGTATTTCTCATACACCGCCTATTATATGGGCGTGTATATCTCCCACACTATTTTATTTTAACAACACAAACGCGTTTCTAGAAACACAGTCGTATTCGTATACACGGTTTAGAGCGATTTGTGATTGCCCTTCAAAATCTTCCTTTGACACGTTGGATAGAGGGGTTTATAGACATTTATACAATGACTTTTACCAAAAAAAACTTCCATGGAATGACATGGATGTGATGTGTCTTTCCATTAAAAAAAATTAGTACATGTAGCTCTTGTGATATTATAGTAAATTTGATGGCTTCTTTTTTGTCCTCGTCTGCACCCGGCTTTGGTTCTGCTGCCACACATTTTTACCATCTTAAAGAAAGCCACTGTACATAAAACATCATAGCAGGGGAGAGCATAAACCTCCATTTACAATAAAAGGCTTTCATATACAAGCAATTGTAGGCATTTGGCCACTGTGACTACTCTTAGGCCAGGTTTTAATTGACTTTTGACAGCTATTTTGGCTTCTGTTTATAAAAAAACACTTTGTATATATTTACATTAGTTTCTGTCTAAAAACAAAAACAATTTTTTAGGCTGAAAAATATTTTTTTCAGAAGCACATAGTAATACATAAAGTAAAAAAAGCAAAAATGTCAAAAACTTTTACACTTATACTAACTAATAAGAAATTATTTTTAATTTACTATAAACTCCAAAATGTCTCATTCAATTGAAACAAAGAAGGTATATAGATATATTTTTTTAAAAAATATAAAATAATTAAAATAAAAAGTTGGTGCACACCAAACAAATATTATATATTAAATCTAAAAATGATAAATTGTAGAGGGTTAGATTTAATCAATTAATTATAGCTAGTCGTTTATATTAATCGGCAATCCATGGTTGCCAGGACCACATGCAAATTTATAAATAAATAAATAAATAAATAACACTTTGTGAAAAAAAAAAGGTAAAAATATATGTATTATAGATAATTTAGATAAGTTTCATATTTTTTTTATAGAAAAAAAAAAAAAGAAAGATACAGAAAATTCCATTTCACTTGTCGCTATATATATATATATGTATATATATATGATGGGTAGGAAATGTCTTTCTAGACTTGTCACATAACTAACTCTTTATGGTTTTGAAAATTAGTATAAATCCTCCATTTATTTTGAAAATGGTATGGCGCTCCCTTATACTTTAAAAAAAGTTGTATGAAAACTCCGTGTTATTTTGAAACTCAATGTAAACCCTCACTATACTTTAAAAAATTGCATGACACCCTTTATAATTTAAAAAATATTGAATGAAATCCCCTACCATGCAAAACATATAGATATGAAATTATTTTCTCATCACACAAGGAAGTTTTCATGGTGGTGGGTTTCATGCAACGCTTTTTAAAATATAAAGGGGTGTCATGCAATTTTTAAAAGTATAAAGAGATTTCACGTTGAATTTCGAAATCACAGGAAAGATATGAGCAATTTTGCCTAAAAGTATTTCAAATGTGAGGAATATAAGTCTTGAAATATTTCAGTTATTATTATTATTATTATTATTATTATTATTATTATTATTATTATTATTCTTATTATTTTGGTTTGCATCTATTGTTTTGCCCCTTTTTTTTTTTGCATTTTTTTTCTTTATTTTTCATGATATATTTGATTAAATAAGGGTTTTTTTAATTTAATTTCTCAATATCATTACAAGAAAGTTGCATTTAAACACCTCTCTTACTCTCTCCCCCTTTGTCTCTATCTTAACAGATAAAAAGCTTAACTAAACAAATACTTTCCTACCAGTGTTAAATTTCCTCGTACTTCACTAGTACTTGTAATGAAATCAAACCATGAAAATATAAATATGTATGTATTTGTGTGTATCGTCATCAATCTCCCCCTCGAAATTATATAATTTTGATCTAAATGCATACTATACTGCAGAGATTATTATTCACCTTATTGTCGGCAGACAGACACTCCTCCATCTTTAGATTTTGATTTCGGTTTCGGTTTATTGAGATTGTGCTAGAAATCCGTGCTCGAATATATCAGATAGAATGCTTCTCATTTAATCCAATGAAACCTGTTTTAGTATCATTGCATCCATACCCAACCTCAAGTAGTAATATTTTATTGCCATGTCAGTGTTCCATGTT